CTGTTCACAAATGCTCTCCATCCAACCTCACTGAGCTCGAGCTGTTTTGCAAGGAGGAATGGGCAAAATTTAAGTCTCTTGATGTGCAAAACTGATAGAGACATACCCCAAGTGACTTACAGCTGTAATCGCAGCAAAAGGTGGTGCTACAAAGTATTAACTTAAGGGGGCTGAATAATTTTGCACGCCCAATTTTTCAGTTTTTTATTTGTTAAAAAAGTTTGAAATATCCAATAAATTTCGTTCCACTTCATGATTGTGTCCCACGTGTTGTTGATTCTTCACAAAAAATTACAGTTTTATATCTTTATGTTTGAAGCCTGGAATGTGGCAAAAGGTCGCAAAGTTCAAGGGGGCCGAATACTTTCGCAAGGCACTGTATATGTAGTAGTTTTTATATACAGTTCAAAAGTGCCGCTCCACATTTCCCTTATTTAGAATAGTGATGGTAGCTTGGCAGATCAAGCAAACGCACTTCGAATATGACATCGTGAAAAAAAAGTCCCCCTCCCATCCTGCATAAAAGTGGTAAATTTTCGGTTTCTTACTTGATTCAGCTCCCCAACTCATTTTATACCCTTTCTTTGGTAGAAATAAATTGGAAGGCTGACAAAGTAGTTAGCTCACTGGAGTTTTCCAGTAGCTTGTGCGGTTGACTGCGCATGCTTGGTGATTCGTGTGTCAGAAAATACTAGATCTCAGACTGGCTGCACTGCATGTCAATCAAGTGTCAAATGCCATAGGCAGGAAGGATGATAGGCTAACAAATTTTTTTTTGAATGGCACACGATCCTCTACTACTGCCTTTGCTATCGATGTATTGGGCACCCCTGTCCTGTTCACCCCTGACTGTGTCGCCTCCCACAAGGATAGCATCATCCTAAAGGTCGCGGACAACACTGCAGTGATAGGTCGCATCACTGGTGGGGATGATGCAACCTACAGGAGGGAGGTGGCCGGTCTGGTGTCATGGTGCGAGGACAATAATCTCACCCTCAACACGGACAAGATGAAGGAGATGATAGTGGACATGAGGAAGGAAAGGAGATCTCATCAGCCACTGTTCATCCAGGGGCTCAAAGTGGAGAGGGTGAGCAGCTTCAAATACCTGGGTGTCCACATCAGTGAGGACCTCACTTGGACACTTAACACCACACAGTTGGTCAAGCAGGCCTCACAGTGACTGTACTTCCTGAGGAG